TTATTTTGAAAACTGGTAAAAGAAACATTTATAAATAGTACTTTAAGATGACCAAAGAACTGGTGTAGGGAAAAGGGAAGCTTCTCTCCATAGAAGTACAGCTAAGAAATGAAGAGGGAATGATAAAATCATTATCATTTTAAATACTTGCTCAACTCCTGGATCTAGGTAGTGATCAGCAATGCCGGACCACATGAAAGGGACACAACCAGACATGATGTGCCTCCTGATGTAGTCTTGTTGAAAAAATGAACCCTAATCTGATGAAGCCTCCAGATTTATTTATTTTTAAAGATTTTACTTATTTGACAGGGAACACAAGGAGGGGGAGTGGGAGAGGGAGAAGCAGGCTTCCTGCCGACCAGGGAGCCCGATGCGGGGCTCGATCCCAGGACCCTGGGACCATGACCTGAGATGAAGGCAGAAACTTAACGACTGAGCCACCCAGGCGCCCCAAACCTCCAGATTTAACAGATGTTTTTAAATGCTGTCTAAGGGGCAGAAGAATCTATTAAACAGTGCCATGGAGTGCCGTCAGCAAAATCCAGACTGTAGGAACTCCACGGGAAAATAACCCGAGTTTTTAAAGAAAGACGAATAATTTATGAAAAAAGATGGCAGGTAAACCTGTAGCTTAGAATAGATCCATTAACCCATTGAGGTGTTTGGATTTTATTTGTATCTTAATTAGAACAGTTTAAAAAAATTGGAACACTGGCTATTTGAAGGACATTTTAATGTTACGTGAGACAATGGTGTTGCAGATGTGTTTAAAGAAAGGTCCTTTATTTTTTAAAGATTTAATTTATTTTTTTAAAGACTGATTTATTTGAGAGAGAGCGCGAGCACCAAAGGCAGAGGGAGCTGATGTGAGACTCAACCCCAGGACCCTGAGATCATGACCAGAACCGAAGGCAGCTGCTTAACTGACTGAGCCCCACCAGGCGCCCCAGATTTTGAGAGAGAGAGAGAGAGCGCACATGCGCGCGTGCACACACACACACACGAGGACGAGCGGGATGAAGGGCAGAGGGAGAAGCAGACTCTCTGATGAGCAGGGAGTCCGAGGAAGGGCTCAATCCCGGGGACTCCGGGATCATGACCTGAGCCTAAGGCAGACCCTTAACTGACTGAGCCACCCAGGTGCCCCAAGAAAGATCCTTTAAAAAATGCATACGGGGTTATTTTCTCTTGAAATAAGGTGTCAGCTGGGATTCGTTTTAAAATGAAGGACTGGGGGCACCTGGGTGGCTCAGATGGTTAAGCGTCTGCCTTTGGCTCAGGTCATGGTCCCGGGGTCCTGGGATCGAGCCCCACATCGGGCTCCCTGCTCGGTGGGAAGCCTGCTTCTCCCTCTCCCACTCCCCCTGCTTGTGTTCCCTCTCTCGCTGTGTCTCTCTCTGTCAAATAAGTAAATAAAATCTTAAAAAAAAATAATAAAATGAAGGGCTGATGAGGAAGTGAGTGAGTTTGGATGAGACCAGAGTGGCCACAAGCTGGGGGTGACTGAAACTGATGATGAGTTCATGAGAATTCATTCATTGGGACTCATGCTCTACTTTTGTGTATGTTTCAGGTTTTCAGTGGTAAAGCCTTAAACGAAAGTAGAATTCTTAGCATAAGTATGGCTCAGGAGAATTTCTGAGAAGTTTTGTCAAATGAGAATTCTGTATGAAACCTCATTTTCATATCTTCTCTGTACATTAGAGATATAGTCCTGGAGGGAAACAGAACACACGCTGGGTGTCTGGAATTAGTTCTGGTTTTGGTTCAGTGATTTAGCTGCTCACCAAGACCCTGAGGCTCATGACTGCTGAGGGGGTGCCCCGAGTTTGCTCTCTTGGAAGACTGTAAGACAGCTTCTTGATGTGGATGATGCTTCTCTTATTATCTGGCTCTGTCTTTTCTCCTTGTCACCTGCAGCCAACTGCAGACTTGTAGTGTCTCTGGATGGAAAAGAACCTGTTTCTCTATCCCCAAGTGTTGCAGGGCCTTTGAAAAGCCAGCCACCTAGGGGTGGTCTGTGACCTCCCAAAGTCCCTTGGCCAGTTGGTGGGATGTCTGGGATTCGAACCCCAGTCTCTGGACCTCCACTGCCCTGTACTCGATGCTTTCTTCTTATCTGAGAAGTTAAGTTCTACCTGGTTGTTACCCTGTGTGATGAGGGGTGACGGTACTGTTTTTTGAGCCTGCAGTGTGCTCTTTCGAGAGAGCCTTTGCCCCGAATAATTTATACACCACCGTGCCTGTCCAGGTACACGTTCACTAGCCAAATAATTTTTTAGGTGCCCAAGGAAATGAGCACTGCTTCCAGTGTCTGAGGAATATTAAACCGGGGACAAGAACATTTTTTTTTTTTTAAAGATTTTATTTATTTATTTGAGACAGAGAGAATGAGAGACAGAGAGCATGAGAGGGAGGAGGGTCAGAGGGAGAAGCAGACTCCCTGCCGAGCAGGGAGCCCGATGCGGGACTCGATCCCAGGACTCCAGGATCATGACCTGAGCCGAAGGCAGTCGCTTAACCAACTGAGCCACCCAGGCGCCCCAAGAACATCTTTAATATTGATAACACTCATAAATATAGTGCCTTAGAGTTTAGAAATTGTTTCACATAAATCTACCGTCTTGTTTGTTGTTCTTCACACCTGCTGTTACCAGTGATGGACTGGCTTGTCAGGTTGGGGTCTCCTGACTCCAAGCTCCATGCTAGCTCCCCTTTGTCACACTGCTTTAGTGGAAGTCGAGAATGGTAACAGATGATCTCTTTAGACGCCAATGGCCTGTCGTCATTATGGCCTAGGCTGTCACCGTCACCACCGTCACCACCATCTTTATCAAATGAGTAACAATTACTACTGATGTCAACTTAGGACTTCGTGTCTGTTAGGCATGGTGGGAAGCTGGAGTCCTAAGATCTTAAAAAACCTGATTCTCCTACAAACTCCATGGCACACATACTGAAACCTTATTAGCTGTGTGATCTTGGATAAGATTAGTTTCTCAAGGTCACAGCACTAATGAAGAGCGGAGGCAGCATTTCAACCCAGGTGTGTCTGATGCCAGGGCCTGCTCTGTAACCGTGAAATCCATTCACTGACATTCATTCATTCAATTAACAGGTGGTTACTGAGTATCTACTCTATGCCGAGTACTTTCCAGGCATTGGGGATGTAGTCGTGAACAAGACAGACCCACTCTCTTGTCCTTAAACAACTGACGACTCATGGGGTGAGACCGAGTAGAGTAAGCAAGATATTTTTAGGCAATGATGAGTGGTTTGAAGGAAATGAAACCGGGTAATGTGACACAGAATGTCTCGCACATATGACTGGGCTGCTTCTTTTTGCTGGTTAGGGGGCTTTTTGGAGGTCAGGTAGGACTTGAGTGTTTTAGACAAAAGAGCAAGTGATCGCTAAAAGTCGTGCAGTGGGAGCTTGTGTGGTGTGTTTGGGGAGCAGAAAGCGTACAGGAGAGGATGTGGGAGCCGTTGGAGAGGGAGGGTTGCTTGTGGTCATTGCTCATTATTGTGGGTCTAGATTTGCAGTGAACTGTCCACAGTCCCTGTCCTAGGCCCCTGGGGACCCAGGCATGGCTATGCCTTTCACCGTGGAGTAGAGCACATTCACCTGTGACAGGTCTCCTTTCTGCGAAACAAAATCCATCCCAGAGAAGTGGTGTGTTTCTTCAAGACTCTTGGCTCTCTAGTCTCAACACCAGTAGGACAGGTCTAAGCTGTAGAGACCTAAAATGTGTGAAAACAATTCTAGGGACTTAAATGTCATCAGGAGGAAGTGACGTCAACAGTGTGACTTGGTTGCCAACAAAGTGGCTGCAGTCGGAGGCTTTCCTGATGGATGATGGAAGGAGAGGTAGATGTCTGCCACATAGAAGGAGGATGTTCCTGGCCCCAAATGGAAGAGGTTTCTTTGGAAGCTGATGCATGCCCTGGGTGGGGAGAAGCTCCTCTGCCCCTTGTGAGGAGTGGATCTGAGGATTCAAGCGTGGCTGCGGGCGGGGGAGGAGCTGAACGTGGGTCATCTCTGCGGGCCTTCCAGCCTGCAGTCCGGACAGCCTCCTTGCCAGGACGGCAGTCGATGGTGATGGTGGTTAGTAGCAACTTGGGGGAGATGAAGGACCCCCCACTTTTGTTCCTGTCTGCCTCACTCTCAAGGCCCGGGCTCCCTCACGTTGCAGCACCGTGTACGGTCCCTGACTTTCTCTGGGGTCCCTATTATTTTTAGTGGTGTCTTATTTAATGCAGTTCTAGATTTCCAGCTCACTGGCACCATCTGTCTGTAATCACACTTCTCAGAGCTGCCTTCTTGTCACCAGCCTGCCTGCCTCGCTGATGGGCTGGGAGCTGGTTGTGTTCTCTGTACTTGCTGTACTTTGAAATTTTCACTTGGCATGGTCAACCAAGGGACCTGGGAGCATCTGTGGAAGCCTTGGAACAGAAGGCTCGCATTGTCCTCTTGCGGTGAGCGCGTTCCCGCCTCTAGCGCAGGATGCTCGCCGGGCAGCCCTGGGTTCCAGTTCCTTCATCACTGGGTTTTGTCTGTGTAGCCTTGGCTGCCTCTCTCCACACCTTTGGACCCTGATTCTTTGATCTCTACACAAGTTGACGGGATCAGACCCGTGGCTCTCTGGAGGGCCCATCCAGCTCTTGGATCATTCAGAAGTGTTCTTTGCTTGTGTTCTGCACCTTCAGGAACGTCACTGGACTCTCCAGAGCTGACTTCTCAGGGCTTGCCATCGAAGGCCGTCTGACGTGCGTGTACATTTGAGAGACTGATCAGACAGTTTTGTCAGGGGTATGAGGAAGCTGTCACTTCTGAGAAAAGGATGTGTGTGTTTTCACTACTTAGGTTAAACCGTTTGCCCCAAGGACCCCCCGAGTACAGGCCTGCATATGCCATACACTGACTGCCTTAGCATGGTGAGCATGTCCAGGACATAGTAGCTCCTTCTCACACGTAGCGTTTATGTTCTTCATCACAGCTGTGCTACACTCTCCAGTGAAAAGATGCTCGAGTTCAGAGAGGAAGTGGCCTTCCGAAGATGACGTGGCTCTTCCCTGGTGTCTCGCTTCAGTGCTGGTGCTGCTCCTGTCTGGGCTGCATCTCCGAAGGGGGCTGTCGGCTTGGCAGGTGTCTTGGGTAGAGGGTGGGGGGGGGTAGGTAGGGGTCACTGAAGAAGGCAAATTGAGATAGGATCACAGGAAGCATTCCTGGTGCCTAGAAATGGGGCGGGGCGGGGGAGCTCTTGCCTCCCCTCTCCGTGGCCTCGCGGGGAGAGGTGGGACTGGAGGCTGGCAGCAGCTGGGTTGTGGGGGAGCTTGGTCCTGGGGTAAGCACAGTTGTGCAGTCCAGGCGTGCCTTAGTTGGCGGGACGTCTACGCATCAAGCCTATGAAAGTATGTCAGGTGGCCCAGTGGAGTCCTGCCAGCCCCACGGTGGAATGTGGTGTGGGGCTCAGGCCACCAAGGAGCGCGCTGCCTCTCTCCTGTCCATCCCTCACCTCCCAGAGAGGGCAGCCATGGGAGAGCACCTGCCTTTAATTTGCTCTTGAATGCCCTTCCAAGGTGGGAGAGTTAAAAATGTATTTTTGAATATTCTGAAGGCAGTGTTCTTATAGACAGTTTGACAGCCTAGAACTTACACAGGAGAACCATAAGGCAGTGGGAGAAGATTGCAAGTGGGGGGGGATACGGTTTCCTTTCCTCCTCTGTAATTTGAGTGCATGTGCCAAACATGGAGGCACTTTATTTATTTTTTTAAAGATGTTATTTGAGAGAGAGAAAGAGAGCACAAGCAAGGGCAGAGACAGAGGGAGAAGCAGTCTCCCTGTTGAGCAAGGAGCCCGATGCAGGACTTGATCCCAGGACCCCGGGGTTATGACCTGAGCTGAAGGCAGACGCTTAACTGACTGAGCCACCCAGGTGCCCGACATGGAGCCACTTTAAACAAATACTTAATGGAAAGAACTATGGTGCCTTCCATCATGAGCGCCTCCCCCTGCCGCCAGTGTTGGATGAGGCCATGTTGCTCTCCTGCAGGGCAAGATCACCCAGCTTTGCAGTAGTATTAGCCAGGGGTCAACCCAAGAAATGGGCCAGTTGGAAGGACAGGTGTGAAGAGCTTTATTTCGAGCTGCTGGTGCAGGCGATCGGGGGTAAATATGTGGGCCGGCTGCCAGGCTGGAAGTCATGGGCACGGACTGAAGCTGCTGTCCACAGGCAGAATTTCGTCCTTGGGAGTCCTCAGCTCTACTCTTGAGGCCTTTCACCTCCTTGAAACAGGCTCCTCCAGATGATCTAGAATCACCTTTACTTAAGGAGGATTGTGGACCTTAATCACATGTGCAAAATGCCTTCACAACAGCACGTAGTTTAGTGTCTGATAGGATGGCTAGGGACTTTATCTTGGCCAAGACCTTTCCCCGTGACTCAGTTAGGAGTACTTGCTGGGGCGGGGTGCTAGCTTCTGTTGCATCCATCTGTCTGTCTCTGGTCTGATCCACGCAGCAGCGCCCTCCCAGGCTTCTCCGTGACGGATGCTGAACGACTTCTCCCAGGTCCCAGAATGGCCAAGGTCCTTGTTCTATCACCTTCGGGAAGAAAAAGCCATTTGTTTTGTTTGCTTTTTTTCATGCAACAGATGTTTTCAGGTGTCCCCCATGAGCTGGCGATTTATCTATGTACCAGAGATCTAGCAGTGAGCAAGACAAACATGATCCCTGCTCCTTCAGAGCCTTACAGACGGGCCTGGGTGTTGGGGATGTGGGCAGAGGAAAGGAGAATAACAAAGAGCCTTATAAATGGATACAGGCTGAGTTCAGATAGTGCTAAGGGTATTGAGGAAATAGAGCAGGATGCTGTGACTAAATCTGGTCCCTTTCTGAGTTCAGATAATGACTTCCGAGTTGTGTGATGTTGGGCAAGTTCCTGTACTTTGGTGAGCCTCTCTTCTGTCCAGGAGAAAAATCGCAGATATTTGTACCTGTTTTGGGACCATTACAGGTTTTTGGGGACGAGGCCCAAGGAAGCTGAATTGTCCAGAAATCCTTTGGGATGGTTGGAGTTTGGATCCTCAGAGTGTGGCTTATGGTCCAGCATCAATGTCGCTGGAGATCTTGTTAGAAATACAGACTCTCAGGCTCTGTCCTAGACCCACCGAGTTAAGTCTGCATTTTACCAAGATCCCCAGGTGACTTGTTTGTCGACTACAGTTGGAGAGACACAAGGCAGAGGGGCTGAGGGCAGCTCAGAGGCTGATAGAGGAACTCGTGTAAAACCTTGGATTCAGGGGGGAAATGGGGAGAAAAGCATTCAGAAGGTCCGTTCTACCGGTTTTCTCCTGAGTGAGGTCAGCCTGTGAAGAAGGGACTGCTAAGAAACCAGCTTAGTCCCCAGATTGCCAGTTTATCATTACATCATCACGGGAGGTCAGTCCCAAGCCCGTGCGCTGGTGTCTTGGTGTCAGATGCACAAAGTAGAAGGCCGTGTGAGGAGGAGAGGATCCAGAAACTGGAATTCGGGCTGCCACGGCTGGATGGACCCTCCTCCTCCGCTTCAGGAATGTTCCCCTTGGAGGTCTAGGTGCACGCCAAGCCCTGGCCTCCAGCGTGTGGCCTGCTGACATGGCCACCGCCCCCTTCTCCTGAGGCCGGCGGAGGGCTCCCCTCTGTGTGCCAGCCACGGTGTCCCCATCTCCCTCTGTAGTTGTGACTCTTAGGACTGTGGGGTGCTGCTCCCCTTGTATTCTTGATGCCTTGTGGGAGGTGACTCGATCCTCTGTCTGTGTTTCCGGAACAGGCTGCTTCCTGGTGAATTTGCGGGAACAGCGAACCCGATCCGTGGGAGGCCTGTTCAGTGTGCTTTGTCCCCAGGAGGGCAAACCTTTCTCCCTTGGGCATTGCTGAGTCCTGTGTTTACTCCAGCTACAGCTTAGAAAGTTCTCGGGTGAGCTGGTGGCTTAATAGGATAGCTTCCTAGTATGGTAGCTTGAAATCTGTTCTCCCTGGGCAGGACTGTGGTAGCTGTGGGGCTTTCTTTCAGAAAGATTTGTGTCCCAGAGATGATGCGTGGGAAAACGACAACTGCGCAGGCAGAGGACCGGCGTGGTTGGTGACTGAACATGTTAGCATTCTGATTTGTTGACTTGGGTGCTGATCCAGGACAGGTGGGGCTCTTAGAAGTTGCCCCGTGCGGTGTGAGGACAGCTTCGCTCCCTCACGCCCTCTCTCCTCACTAGCATCCTCTGTGACAAGTAGTTTCCTCCAACACTTGCCCCCCGTGTGTTTTGAGGTTCCCACGTAGACCTGTGGTTTCTTTGGGGGGTAAGCCTGTCTTTCATCGTGTCTGAATCACAGTTAAACCCACTTCATTGTCAAAGTTCCTCGAGCTCTCCTGCAGCTTCTTGCAGATCTACACGCCACCGCGCCAGGGAGGAAGATGGGAGTTAAAAGTGCCTCCGTGGACAGCATTAATCCATGTCTGGGGCCTTATCTAATCAGAAAATGCTGGCTTCGGTTTCCTGGGGATGGGAGCTCATTTTGTGCATCTTGTTCTGTTTGCGTTGGCGGTCCCTCCAGATGCTGCAGGCTTCCATATGTCCGCCCCGTCTTTATCAGATTTGTGTCGGGCCGTGGCAACTAGATGTGTGCATGGATTTCCTTGCTGAGCTGAAACGGATCGCGGTCTGGGTCTGACACGAGAGCCGACTTCTTGGGAGCTGTTTTGTTTGTTTGTTCGTTCATTTAAACCGATAGATTTTTGCCAGGTAATTTATCACGAATTTTTCCTTCTGTAGACAGGGAGGTATGAACTCATGTGCCCTAGTGTTTGTCCTTCCTTGTTTGAGGGGAAGGGAGGGGAGCGTGGGGAAGCCCACGGACCCTGGCAGCTCAGAACCTCGAACTCCTTGGATCCCCAGCCGCCCCTCAGATGGGTCTGCTGACCTCCTTCCTCCGGGCCCCTCAGATGGGACTGCTGACCTCCTTCCTCCGGGCCCCTCAGATGGGACTGCTGACCTCCTTCCTCCGGGCCTTTGAGACAGGTCGCGGAGTCCACTGGTGAACAAATGGGCCACTGTGCTCGGAATGAAAAGAGGGGCTGGTGCCCTGAGTGCACCTTGTCAGGCTGCTGCTAGGAGACCCTTAGGTTCTCCCTTGCACTGAGGGCCTTCCTGGGAGCAGTTGCTGGGGCCATCCCCCTCCTGCCCTTGGGAAGGTTCTGTTGCAGATGAAGCTGCCTGGCCTGGCACGTGTGTGCGTCACATGGGTATGTGCGCTTATACGTGTGAACACAGAAGGGGCTCTCACTGCCCCCTGACAGCCTTCAAGACCCATCAGGGGTTCTTGCTCTCTGAGGGTGGACAGTCCATGTACCCTTTGTCGGCCTCCACTTTCTTATCACACAGGAGTCCGCGAACCTTATTCTCTCCTCCAGGTTCTGGCACGTCCTAGGGTCCTTCTTCGCAGTGGTGTTAGGAGAAGACAGAAAAAGAATGAAATATTCCATCAACACCGGTTGCTTAGCAGGTGCTTTGCCTTGCTGATACTCCAGTTGACTCTTCATTAAAAAAAAAAGGAAACCGCTCTTGGCCTCCTGTTTTTCCTGCAAGATGGATCCGTATTTGTAGAACCCTTATGTCTCCCCACCAGTTTACAAACAGTCACTTGGCAGTTTTGAATTTGCTCCTCATGTACTGAACACCCACTGTGTGTCCAGGGCTATGCACGAGGTTGGGGGCTGAGGTGGGGGTGAGTATGTGTTTGCTGGCGATGAGTCCGCGCTCTGCTCAGTCCTTTTGAGTCATGGGCCCCGTGGAAATCTAACAAAAGCTCTGGTCTCTCTTCTCCAAAAACTCCTAAACCGAACCTAGCATCTCCTTTCAGGGGGTCCCTGGGGCTTGTGAGAACGTTCACGGGGATTCCTAGGACCTCAACGTAGGAGCCACTTGTCTTGATGATGGTACAAGTCATGTAGGAGCTGCCTGGTAATCTGTTGTCCTCTTTATTTTGGGGAAGTAGGGGTACTACTCTTTAGACCCTCACAGCTGTTCCTCTTCTTAAGAAAAATCTAGAAACTAGACCATTTCACTGTCCGAATAACCAGAAGAGGGTCTGCTCGGAGTCCAAGAAGGGG